AGCCTTTGAATTTAGCCGCCCGCTCAAGTCTTTCCCTCGGAAACGCAAGACTGGCTGCAACACACAGACAAGCCTGAAGACAGCAACATGAGCATAGAAGCAGGCTACATCCAGGTGTATACCCGTTGCAGAAAGTTTTTGTTTGACGCCAAGACATGACTATTTCAAGTAAATGCGGCAGGTCTACGGACCGACCAAAGAAGAGGAAACCATGATAAGGCCGACTCAAGAGTCCGTGCGCCCAGCCTGCACGTCAGCGCACATGCCTGCCGACAGGAATGCAGTTGCTATTAGTAGCTTCTTGCACAGCCTGTTTGTGTAGCCTCAAGCTTGTACGTGAAACTCTGGCGCAGCCTTTCCACAGTTTCTCAAAGTTGTTCGATGGAAGGGTTGTGGTCGTGCTTGTGATTTTCCGTATGCTGCTGGTAACTTGCCTGTAGCTCGTTTGTCGCGTTCCGTTGTCGACTTTGGTCGCGTACAACTCTATGAAGGTTTTTTTGCCATACATTCACATCTTGTTTGCATGGATGCTGTACTTTCTGGAATGATGGGGTATCACTGGCCCGCGAGCAAGTACCGTACGTCAAGGCCATCACAGCACTGGTTCACCTTGGGCCAGCAGACACACGTGTCTTGGAGCTTCGGGGAAGATGCTTTAGAATTGTGATTTGCATAGGAAACACACATTTTCAGAGTAGTCTTTGGCACTATCCATGGGGCACACCTGATGAACATGATGCAAGGACAGGATCATTCAAGCATTGAATGCGGGAAGCAGTGAGACCCGAAGCGCTGCCCTCGTGCACTTTGGTTCTATGCAGGAGTGCGGCGCAACTTGGCATGGGCCTGGATGAGATAGGATGGGCGAGGGTCAGCTGAAAGACTTTGTATACAGTTTGTGGGGCCGCATCATCTCGCCGCATGAATTCAACTAGTTTACTGACAGTTACTGGCCTAAGGACACCAGTCATGTTATCAATCGCATCTTGACTGCACTGCAGCTGCAAAGCTTTTGTGGCCTTCCTTAGGATATAGTCTAAATATAGTCACGACTGCGCGGCAGACCAGGTGTTGTCGAGGCAATGTTCCAGGCCGATGAATGGGATCCACCTTTATCGCAAGCTTGCATCATTGATGCACTGGCGATAGCAAGCAAGCAAGACTACCACGCGGCAACACGGCTTCACTAGCCAGGTGTGCAAATTCGTTTGGTATCTGCCACAAAATTTGAAAGGCTTAGATCTGAGCAATGAAGTACCTCATCTAAGGCGATCAGCGGGATTGCCAAACATTTGCAGTCTTCCCGCCCGTGGTGGATGAATGCCCGTGCTGCTGCAGCAGCTGCGAAGGTAGCCCACCAAGAGGAGGAGACCATCACTTCTGCCATGCGAGAACCTGAGCCAAGCTTAAGCTTGAGGATGGGAATTTGAAGACATGTTAGCCTTCGGATTGCAAGGAGCGGTTTCGAGCATGCACGGGTTCCGTGGTGGGGTTGGTTAAGGTTCCGCGGTGCTGAGCAGAAAAGTCTCGGATTTGAAGGGCTGGCTTTCGGAGCATGGACCACATTGACTGGCTCCCGCCTTCTGTCTGACCTGGAGATCTTCTTTCAGCCTTGGTTTTCTATTCTAGCCGCAACGTTCAAGTTTCCCAGATTGGTGCACGATCTAGTGAACCAATGACAAGATCTGGAATACATTAGTGCTCTCAGGCAGCAGCGCCCCCATTCAAAAAGTAGCTGAGGAACTGCTCCAGTATCTCGATGGTGAGCATCTTGTCGTAGTCGCCGTTGCGCTGAGTCAGGTGTCACCGTCCTCATACACACAGGCTGTTGAGGCCCTATGTCAGGAGATGCGGCGGAATCGTCACATCAATCGTCTGGAAACCGTAAATGCTTTAGCAGTTGTCGCACGGGACTCTGATCAATGTGTGATCCATGAACTGTCGGCCTACCTCTTGCACGCTAAGCGTGTCATGGAGAAGGACGGCACTCCTCCCGTCATGGCCGCGCTGCAGGCTCTGAAACGGATCGCTGAGCCAAACCAAATTGAGCAGGCACGCATAGGTGTGCTGACGGCTCTGGCAACCAAGGCAGCTGCCACAGGCGGCAAAGAATACATACAGAAGTTACTAACCTTAGCCAAAGAGCAAGGTGCTCCTTCACAAGCTGTATTAGCTGCGCTTGCAAGCGGCTTCCGAAATCACAACGGCTCCATCAGAGAAGCTTGCAAAGCTGTTTTTGGCAAGCTTTGTCAACGTGGTGACGAAACTGCGATTGGCGTCCTGTTGGGTACGATTCGGGATGATGTGTATGCGTGGTCCAGATGTGCAGCCATCGATATGCTGCCGAAGGTCATAGACGATCCTCGCGCAGAGGTTGCAGAAGTTACTGCCTGTCTTCTGGAGCTGTGCAGAGAAGCAGATGTCGGCATCAAATCGGCAGCCCTCTGCGCCTTGAGGCCATGCATTTTGACACATTTGTGCGTTTGTTTGTGCTTAAAGCGGTGTGCTTCAGCCGCAACCTGGCAGCTCATCTTTGCAAAGGGGCTTGCAATGCCACATAATGCAACATGCTTCAAGTGAACGTGAGCGGGGGGGCTTTGGGGCGGATGCCAAAAAATGATTCGACTCCGGGGCTAGAGCGTCCCAGGGAGTGATTTAGGAAGTTGCCACGAGAGCCCGGTTTTAAGAGCGTCCAGGCCATGACTCTAGGTGTTCTCCCTGATTTGCAGCCTGTGACGCTGCTGATGCAGGCTTCCTCAGACCTCCTTGTGCCCTTGTTGGGCATCTCTGCAGGGAAATGGCAGGTCTGCGATGTTCCTCACATGCGCGTCAGGCTTGCTATAGCCTGTGGATTCTGGTCTTGCCTGGTCTTGAGCAAGGAACGCAAAAGAGGCTCCCAGCGCGGAGCTTTCGTTTCTGCCGCTGGCTACCCAGAATGGCTCCGCCGAAATCCGCAGTTCAACTCTGAGCGCCCTGCAAAACCAAACCCAGCAGCCTGCAAAACCAAGCGCGTGGGCCTGGCTGTTTTGGAGAGCAAGCCATGAGTAGGCGATCTTATTTGGCCTTGGAAGCAATCATCTTTGCAATGAGCGTGTCCTGAAACTTGTGAATCTACAATATCAAGCCCTGCTGCCACGGCCCAACCCTGAGGCTTCTGGACCTTCTAGAGACGCCGTCAAGCTAGTCAACAGAAAGCCGATGAAGTTCCAGGTAAAACCAGTTGCCACGGTTTCCGCACACAGGGCTTCAGGAACCTGTGTAGTAATTGTGTGGGTTGCGCTGCATGTCCAATGCCTTTGCCTCGTTGTTTCTCCTTATGCTACTTCTGTGTGAACATGTTGCACCGGCAGTGACCTGTGGTCCTTACCTACAGTGGCAGGGCTTTGCTGCGTGCATGCTGACAGGCATTGCGCATCTCCGGCGGAGACAACCTCGGCAGTTCTCCGGAGTTGTCTGCAGGACCTGCGTGCTGGCATTCCAGCTGTTTCTGCAAATAACGTGCGCGCTGGACTGCAGTTTCCGCATTCAAGTCGGGCTGGAAGGACACAGATGAGTCAGTCCGCTTGGCAGCTCTGAAAGGCCTGGCAGCGCTGGAGCAGAAGCAGGATCTGTTGATAGACCTGCTACTGCAGGGCGCCAAGGACTCTGTTTTGCGTTTTCTTTCTTGTTTTGCATGGTGTCTGGTCTTGGGCTTCGTTGTTTTGTGTTTTTTTGCTTCTCGGCTTTTGGGCTTGGAGCTTCTTGGCCTCTTGGCTTCATGACTGTTCGGTGTGCATGGCTTATCTGCCTGTTTTGCTGGCCGTCTGGGAAAATGCTTGGTTTGCTGGCTTCTTGGCTCTGTGGCTTCTCGGCATTGTTGTAATTGCAGTGCCCCTGATTGTTTCCAATCTTCCAACATGTCTTGCTACCACGATCATAACAGCCATTACCATGGCTTCCATGCTCTTTTTTCTTTGTTTGTTCATTTTGCTCATGATGCTGTGATTGTGTGATACTGTAAGTGATGATCTTCTCATGAGCAGTATCACTTTGATAATGCCTATATTGCGTGAAAACTGCGCTGCTATTTGTATGATTCTTCTAGATATTGTTATTGGATGTTGCTCGTACTGGCACCTTTCTCATCAATCTGAACGTTCTTTGTTTCACCAGCGTGAATGTCAGTGACTTCATGCTCCTTGGTCCTAGGGCCTTGGAAGATGGTCTGGGCAAACCATCCGATCGGGCAGTACTAGTATCGGGACCAGTATTGTTACTGCCTAAACAATGGTGGGACGAGTTTCTGATTTTAGTGCCTCCGGGGTCGATTTCCCCGTATTCGGTTCTGCGAGCCCTTTCATATTGGAGAAATCAACTTCGCCCATGTTCGACCCTAAACGGCTTTGCGAGCATTCAATTGGCCAAGATAGTTTCGCCCAGGTTCGACCCTTTGCAGCTTTGCTAGTAAGATAGCTTCGTCCATGTTCGACCCTGTACAGTTTTGCGAGAATTCATACTGGCCAACATAGCTTCGTCCATGTTAAAGTTGTCACGTGCCCGAGTGACCCGTAAGAGAACCTATGTTTCTGCGTCGAGCTACCAAAGCATACGGTGACCAGAGCATCCATGCCCAACGCATAATCATGTTCGTGTTCCAAGAGCATACGGTGACCAGAGCGTCCATACCCAAAGCATACTTTCGACAGCGTTCCAAGAGCATGCGGACCCTCTAAAAGTGACCATTTTGTGATTATTGGGCATGCCCCGATGCAGGCCTACAGCAGATTCAGCAGACATCTGCCGCAAACCCACACGAAAAACCTGTTTCGACGTCAAAATCTGCGTGCTGCCTTGCTGTTCTTAACTTGCAAAGTGCTAGGGGTCATACAACCACGTGTTACCGTGTTCGACCCTGTAAGGTTTTGCGAACATCCATATTGGTCAAGACAATTTCGTCCATGTTCCCTTTCATACAGTTTCGCGACAATTCACACTGGCCAAGATACTGGACCTCCTCAAAAGTTTCAGCCCCAGACTGCACACTTCCAACAGCCACTCTACAGCCTCCGCCCGTATGATAGTGCCAAACATGCTGGTCCTCTATTTGCCCCAGACGGCTTCTTCAGCATGATGAATGGGATGTGGTTTGTCGACATCAGCCAAGTGCAAATACACGGTGAACTAGATGAGGGGCCATGGATTGAAAATTCCCCCTATTGTAAATCAATGTCGTTGCTATTGTATCTGCTGCTTGGACAGATCCTGACAGTCTTCTTTTCGTTTCTTGTCATGGACAATGACCGGCAATGACCAGGAACCAATGCAGCCATACGTCGACCAACGTAACAGATGGCACCGAAAGGCTTCATGAAAAAACATGGAAGCAGCAGGATCAACAAACATCCGAAATCAACAGCATGTATCATTAATTTACCCATGACTTCGCTGGTCCCCATCCGTGACCTTTGTGTAATCGTGCATTCTCTTGCTTCTGCAGTAGTGGACAATTTTGGAGTGTTGTCGTGATACTGTGGTGCAATACTTGCCGAGGTGAGCAAATGTCCTGTCATGCTGAATAAGTTTGTTTTCTTGTCGTGGTTGCAACGCCCCCTCCCGGAGCCCAGATGCCTACTTCATGTATTGAGCAACCATTCGCAAGACATCTTCCAAGACTTCACAACTTTCCTTGTGAAACGCTCATGGAACCCAGATGCCACGGATTGCAGCGCATGATTGTGGCGTTGAGGATGAAGCTTCTTTCGTCACCATGACCGCCGTCGAGCTCTTAGTGAAAGTGCAATGCAGTGGCCGCGAGGAGGTGCACTGTCGCGGATCCAGGGCTTGTTAGAACATAACGCAGCTTAGGAGCTTCTGGAAGCTTTCCTCTGTACTTGAGGGCTAGCAGCTTACAATCAGCAAGAAACACACTTAAGCTTGAATCCTGAAGACTTGCAACTGCGGTTGGGTGGGTTTTGTTCTTGAACTTAGATCAAGGCCGGATGACTTGGCTGTGAAGTTGCCTTGACCCCGACAGCAAACATCTCTCACTGTAAGCTTACATCGAGCACCATAGCTAGCTCTTTTTGATCTCGCTCTCAAAGAGACTTGAGCGGCAGGAAACAGACAAAACATTGGCTTTCTTGTGCGGTATCATTGTGTGTGAGGAGTGCTTGGCACCTTGTAGATGTTGCTGTAGCAGGAGATTTGCCAGCGAATAGCGGGGCTGCTGCAGCATGGAAACTCGCAAGTCCGTGAAGCTGCAGCTTCTGCGTTGGGCAACATGTCTGGCGACGCAAGGATCCATGCTCTCAGTCCCTCCCTCAGGATCTGCTACAAATTGCAAGATGCCGTCTTTCACTCATTCTGGCCAAGGTGCACTCAAGCAGAAAAGTACTTGGGCTGAGACAGACAAAGCTGTGTTGAAAGCCAGAGATGCATCACTCCAACTTCTTAGCCAAGATGGCTAGCTGGGTCTAGACGGGACCATGAGCAACGGAAAACAAACTGCTGATCAGCCATATGAACCTTCTGTCAGAATGCACCTGGGGCCAAGCAGTGCTGCGCATCGTCAGTTTATGGCAGGACAAATGCGCTGCCAAATGGTTGGGCTCAAGTAGTAGTGCATGCGTGGAGTGACAGCCGGATTGGCCAGATTTTTGACATGGCGAAGCTGTTCTCCGGACATGATAGGCACCTTGACCAAGATCTCAGGGAAGCAGGCTACTCGGCCACTCAGGAAAGGATGAACTGATGTCATGACGCTAAGGTTTCACTTACATGCTGTTTTGGGATTCCTGGCGCTGCTCCACTTTGCATACAGACACTCACTGGCAGATAGCAACACTGCATACAGGTTTTGTTTTGCCTTGCTGGCTACTGGCGCAGGAAGTTTTCAGAGGAGGCTGCAAACCAACTTGGAAGTAATTAAGCTGGGCTGAACATCTTTTGACTCGCAAAATCATGCGATATGGCCTGTCTTGTCACATATAGTCATGCTGCATGCTGCGCATCATGTCCTTTGTTTGCCAGCTGATTGTGCCTCACGGCATATCGGCATGTGACATCTGCGGGAACATGAATCACGCTCACAGAGGTTAAGTCACCACGGAGGAATGTTAGAGGGTCGAATCTTGCAGCAGACCTTGATCAACCAAGGATTTTATACCGTTCTTATCCTGCAGTGGCCTCCTTTGCAATTTTTGCTGCTGTATGCACGGGCAAGAGCTTGCAAACTCTTCCTGGAGACATTTGCTCACGTGCATGCGAATAGAAGTTGGAGCGTGCGAACGCAGATGTGCCTTGAGGCAAGAGTCCTTCCAGCAGAACAGCTTCTCCGTCGCATGCCTGCTGCTCCACGTTTTCTTGCACGCAGCCAGCCCGCAGTGACTGCAACTTGTAACTGTGTCAGCACTTCAAGTTACTGAAGCGTTTCGCCCCTGTCTGTTTCTGGAGGCTCTTAGCTTCCAGTTCGAACTGCCGCGGTGCCCTGGCAAGATTGTGTTTAAGATGTGCAGGTGATTAAGCTCACCTGATGCCGTGAGAGTCGGTGATTCTGCTGCTACTACTGGTCTTCTTCTTTATCTTGTTACTCTGTTTGTTGTTCCAGTGCTTGTTGTTTTGATTCTTAGTGTATACAGTGTATTCCTTGGTTGGTGGTCGTCCTGTTATCCTTGTGCCAAAGTCGTCGTCAGTGCACTCGTGGTCGTTAGGTCGTTGGTTGTTCTTGCTCCTCGCCTTGTCCTTCTTGTTGTGGTTTTCGTCGTTGTCGTTGTCGTCGTCGGGTGGTGTTGGTGGTGGTGATTGTCATATTTGTCGTTGCTGCTGCCGGCACTGCCACTGCTGGCGTCGCCGTCGCCCATGCCGACCCTGCTGCTTCTGTGGTTCTTGTTGCGGTGGCTGCTACTCCTCTCGCCGCCAGCGCCGCTGCCTTCCTTTTCCGATGATGATGAGGAGTAAATGGAGTATCGTAGGATGATGTTGTTGTTGCTCTTGTTGTTGTTGCTCTTGTTGTTGTTGGTGGTGGTGTTGGTGTTCTTGTTCTTGTTCTTGTTCTTCTTGTTGTTGTCTTGGTCATGGCCGCTCTGGTGGTAGTGGTGGTGCTTGTAAATGGTAGTGGTGCTGGTGGTCGTAGTGTTGGTGGAATTGGCTGCGGCGGTGGTTCTGTGCTGTCTTCGGCGGCCGGGTGGTGCTCGTAGAGGAGGGTGTGTTGGCGGCAGATGATGTTAACAGTCTCTGTTGTTGCAGTCATCAGGGCTGTCTTAATTGGGTGTACTGCAGGCTGCTCCCTCATTTTTTCTTTCATGCCGGGAGCGTGGGGCCTTTCGTGGAAGTATGGCTAGACATTATGGTAGGACCAAACATGAAATGACTTTGGTTTCATGGCTGTACAAAAACATGCAGAAAAAATACGTATGAAAGGGCAGTGCTTGTCTAGCAATCTTGAAAAGCAGGAATGCATGCTATTTGTACAGTCGATGAAGTTGCGCCTGGCCGCCACACAGGATTCACACAACGCTGCCTGAACCATAAAAGGGAGCATGCCCTACGTTTTTCTTGGCAGTGGCAGTGGGGATGGGCAGCCCGGAATTCATCAAAGAGACCATCAAGTCGTCTGCTCCCTTTCCAGACCTTGCGTCTTCCTCCCCCACCGATCCCCACTGCACTGGATCTTGCATGTTCATCGTCGTAATGATGTGTCATGATCACATACAAAGCACCAGCCGTCGCCAGCATAATAATTGAGCTCAGTCTCCTCTTCCTCATCTGCGGCATTGTCATTGTCAGTTTTGTCAGCACCGTTCATGTCTATCACCATGGTCCATCCTGTCCTGCAGATTCTTTGCATGCAGCATCATCTTCTTTCCCCAGCGCCTTGTTCCGTCCTTGTCGTCGTCCTCCTCGTCCTCCTCGTCTCCGCCGATCCTCTGCAGTAGCATTTTACATCGACCATCCAGGTTTTCATGTGTTCATGCGTGCTATCTGCTACTAGCCACCGCTACATCAACCACGCCCCCATGAGATAGAAAGTCGTCAGCTAGTAGCATTGGCGCATGCTCCTTCCAGCTGTCGTTGACCTCACCCATCGCGCTCAAACTTCTGACAACATTGCACCAAGCAACTCAGAAATCACTCTCCTGCCCAAATGCATTGCGCGCCAGGAACAGGATCTGGACAAAGCCAATGATTTGGAGGCGCTGCTACACGTTTTGGTGTGTTGCTTCTTGTGCTGTTACAGATGGCATTAAGTGATCAGGGAATTTCGCGTGCACAACGCCATTTTTGCCTTGCGCCACTTAGTGGAGCTCTCAGTTTCAGGCTGGCCAAGGTTACAGAACAAAGACTGTTGTGATGGCGTTGGCCAATCTTGCTAATTCGGTTCGGACTGATATCAGTGTACTGAGGTGGGGAGTGCCTTGGGAATCTGGGCCCCCCAGTGGTGGCTGCAAAATCCAGGAGTGACGAGCCTAACCGCCAAGGCAGCGGGAGCATGATCACCAGCAGCATGCAGCTGCTGTCCGTAGAGACTTGCTGTTTGAATACGCTATACCCTAGAGCGTTAGAGCACACCTTCTTGGAGCGCATCCCACAAACAAATTGGGATTACAAGGTTTAGCAGCAAACCAGGGTTCAACCCTCAAATTTACAACTGACTATTCTGGGCAAAAAGCTTGACATCATAGCAGGTGCGACCAACAAATGTGAACCATGTTTAACAAGTTTCAGCCCTGAAAGCTTGATAGTACCGTACAGAGCTGGGCGGGAGTTTCCCGTGTTGCGCGCTGTAGCAAAGCATGTTGGGTCAGTCTACTGTCAGGTGTTTCGCCTGTGGCACCTTGCAGCATCATGGCATCGGCAGGTTGGTCTCGTGCTCGCTGCATGCTATGCAGCTGACGTTACCACCGAGAAGATTGGCAGCAAGGACCCGCTTGCTAGCATGCGAAGTCATGATCGGACTCTGCTTGGGTGCAAGGATGACCGCACAACCAATGCGATGCTTCCCACTCAGATGAAAGGGCACTGTCAGCTGGCTCCAGTTTCCTGCTACCCTTTTCAGCTGTGATTGGAAGGCCGTACCCTAAAACAACACCTCAGACCGTTGAGCAGGCGGGTACTCTCAAGGCTTTCAGTGTAAGGTGGGCTGGGATCATGAATCGGCATTGGCCGCGCAGGTTGCCAAGAGATTCTATGCAAAGTCGCAGTTCGCTGCTTCGGCGATTGCTGTTTCTCGAGCTGAGGACGAGAGTGTGGCTTTCAGCCTTTTGAAGCTTGCTTGATTAGGCAACAAAGGTTATAGGGTTGCTCAACATAGGTGGCTTCAGCAGTAGCGCATTCACAATCCTTACAGTCAAATGCAAGGTCAGCAGATCGCACAGGTATGACCAACCAGCCCAATTTGCTTGCTGTACAACTGCGCAATGCTTGCTAGCATAGCCTACGCATCTTGTCCTCATGCGCTGGAGTACCTGGTTTGCGAGCGTTGTTGTGCACAGTCTGAAAGGTTCTTGTAGTGCTCTTCGGTGCACGGGGCATGCCAGCTCATTAGAGCGCCAACAAACCGGAAAATATGGATTTCATTTTCCTTGCCCTTCGCAGCACTTCATCAAGTTGTCATTGACATGGTCTTGCAACCCGTTGTGTCGTAAATGTCACAGGCAGGTGTTGTTGCAGATCGTACTGCTGCCTTTTTTCTGGCAAAGCAGGGGAAGAACATCCCCAGTGCTCATATCCAAAAGCTGAAAAAGAGCTGTGTTATTTGCTAGCAGTCTTGTTTCAGCTTCCAGACGCTGGTAGCTCGCTTGTGCACGTGCGCCATAATTTGATATATGCTTTGTAGTGAGCACCCAAAGACGCTTGGCATGCTCCCCTTGTCTTAATTCTAAGGCTTTTGGAACGCCTTCCTCATCCTTTTGCTCGGTTCTCGCAATAGAGATTGCATCCTTTCTGATGACCCTTGTACGAAAGGGCATCATCGAGGCAAAGCGAGTTCGAGCTTTGTCACAGCAGTGCAAAAAGAAAGCGCTCGTGAGTGAGTGAATCCTTCCGTGCTTGCCTGCCAGGCGAGAACGTACCATATTATTTACGCTGCAGCGCCCGTTGGACTGCACTTCAGAGATCCAAGTCAACACCACCTCGTGATTGATGCTGAGACTTTCCCCAAATTGCCTCACACTGCCTTGCCAAAGCAGTGTTGCGCCATACACCCACCCTGTCCAGAATGCATGGACCAAGCATGCGAGCTGCAAGGCTATTCATTATGTTCCCTGTTTTGGTCGCCACTCTTCATTCCGGAGATGCGGACGCTGAAAGGGCTACCCTGCGATGCGCCTTGACTTCCAAAGGCAGTGGCTGATAAGGACCTTGCAGCAGGATTTCTACGAACTTGTAAAGTTGCACTTCCTTCAATGAATAAAACTTTTTTCGGAGACCGCTTAATCAGTTTCAGGCCGATCTTTGAAGATCCTGTTTCATCCGATTCGGTTTTTGGGGCCCAGAAAAAGCTAGGGAAGATTTTGCACCTTGTGGTTACAAAGGCTGACGATTCAGAATTCCCTGCTTATGTTCCTTCCCTAAAAGCCTTCTCCTTTGAGAAGGCGGCGCTGAGAGGCTCAGAAGCATCAAAACGGAGCTTTCCAGTGTTCCTTCAAATTGTGCAGTTGCTACTGCCCCCCGAGCCCCAAACTGTTGGCTCTTGAGGCCTCGAAGTGGAGCCTTAGACTTGTCAGTTGCTGGCAGCCCAATAATCTGAATCGCTGTGTTGTTTCGTTCATCGTTCTCCCCTGCTCACGCAGGCTTCCATGCTTGGTTTTGATTCCTTTCATTGTATCTCATATTGTAGACGAAAGCATCTCCAGCCTTGTTGGGAAGCGTCTCTGGGAGCAGCTTGAGAAAGCCGAGCGACTGCTGCGGCTGAAAAGCGGCCCTGCTCTTTTTGGGGACCTAGCAATTGTTCTTCGGACGGCTCTTTTTGCAGGAACGTCTTTTGTTTTTTTGGGGGTGGCTCTTGCATGGAGCGTCTTCATATTTCGGCTTGACATTGAACTCTTGGGTGGAGCGTCTTGGAATGTTAGCTTCAATAAAGTTCATGTGTGGAGCGTTCTTGCACTTCTCTTGTTCATGCGTGACATGTCTTTGGCGGCTTCGTGGCTTTACGGCTTCTAGGCTTCCAGGCTGCTTGAGTGCCCATGGATCGCGGGTTTCTTGTTTTTGGGGCCTCTCGGCTGCGAGGGACATCGAGGGACTTGTTTCTCTGTGGCTTTGGGGCCCGCATGGACTCTCCTCACACGTTCGCTCAAAATTTTTGTTCTCGTGTAAACCTCCTCACGCTTTGATGCGAAATCAAGCTCTTGCCCTGGGACACGCCGCCGGCAGCAATCCCGGGTCTGGGGTCTGGAGTGAGTTTTGCGCTTGCGAAGCCCTGTCTCCTCTGGGCCGAACCGGCACTGAAGGTGCAGCTCGCGCCCCGATTACTCAACTCTTGATGTTTGCATGATAGAAAAGGGGATGGCGTGAATAGCTGCCGGATGTAGTTCCCTTCGCGGCACCGAAGAGGCTGGGTACGGCCCAAGCGGGCTGGTTGGGAGTACAGTGACAGCGCTGCTTAAGAAATAGCTACGCTCAGATGAGGGTACCCTCGATTTCTTAATTATGAGGCCTACTGTTGTTTTTATCAAAAATATTCTAGTTCACGTTGAGGGTACCCTCGATTTCTTAATATAGATTTCTTAATTCGGGAAAACATGATAAAGATGACGCATTTCAAACAAAAACCAATTTAAGAAATTGAGGGGCTCAATTTCTTAATAAGAAATACCACAGTTGGTCCATTTCTCAATAAGAAACACCACAGCTGGTCCATGTCTTAATAAGAAATACGACAGCTGGTCCATTTCTTACTAAGAAATACCACAACTGGTCCGTTTCTTAATAAGAAATGCCACAGCTGCTCCATTTTAATCAAAATTGACAATTTACAAAAACGGCCGAATTAAGAAATTGAGCCCATCAATTTTTAAATTTAAGAAATTGAGTCCCTCAATTTCTTAATACAATGTTTTTTGTTGGAGACGAACTACAAAAGGTCATTTCTAAACATATCTATGGCCAATGCTATGGAAGTTTTTCCAGAATTGAGACATTTCAAAAACAGCCACATTACAAAAACAAACTAAATTAAGAAATTGTCTCCCGCGAGGTCAGCGTACCCTCGATTTCTTAAGTTCTATTTGCCCAGCATTTTCAACATACATTTCTAAGCGCGGCCGCCGAGGGGCTCAATTTCTTAAACCAATGATTTCTTATACAGTGCTGTCGCTGTAGTTTAGGATTCACTCAGCACCCCTTTCATTCAGCCCAGATTCTTAGTGAACCTCGGAGGATTCAAAGGCAGGAGGTCTGCTGTGATCGTAATTTTCGGCAAAAATCTGAGAGGCCCCAGCAAGTCAAGAGCCATCTTCGGTCTGAAAGTCAGTCATCGCAGCCCTCAGATTGAATTCCTGTAACATGTCGTCACCCAATCCCGAAAACCCAGCAGCCATCTTCAATCCCAACATCACGAAGTCCGCAGAAATCCTTTCAAATTGAATCCCCAAGCCCTCAGAAACCCTTTCGACCCAAAATCCTCAAAGCCTTGTACTAGTGGTAAAAATTCTGGCAGGAAATCTGAGGTGTTGTTGTCAGGAAATGATATGCCAAGGTTAAAGGCTTTGTAGGATAATATCTATAACTACTACTACTACTACTACTTCTTCTTCTACTTCTACTTTACTTCTACTTCTACTTCTTCTACTACTACTACTACTAGTGCTCGTAGTAGTACTAGCAAGACTATAGGACTATAGTACTATATAGTATTTGTACTAGTACCACCACCACTACAGCCGCCGGCGCCGACGACGACCACGATCACGATCACGGAGGACCACAAGCACAACCACGATCATGCACTTCGACGACGACCACGACTAAGACCACGACCACGACCACACGACCACGACGACCACAGCAGCGGCGGCGGCGTCAACGACCACGACGACTACGACGACCATGACAATAACGATGACGACGACGACGACGACGCCACCACTGACGACGACGACAACGATGATGACGACTGTGAGAATGAAGGGGACGACCACGACAACGAGGTCCACGACCATCGACGACAACGACAGCGACGACGACCACCATGACCACCATGCCGACGACGACCATGACGATGACGACCACCACGACGACGACCATGACCATGTCGGCCACGACCATGACGACCACGACCATGCATGACCATGCATGACGACCACGAGCATGACGACCACGAGCATGACGACCACGTCCATGACAACGACGAAGACGACGACGAAGACGACAACGACGACGACCATAATGACGATGACCATAACAAGGTCCACCTTCGCGACCACGACCACCACCACGACCATGACGACGACCATGATGACGATGACGACGAAGAGGACGACGACAAGGAGCACGACCACAACCACGATAATGAACTTCAACGACGACGACGACGAGGATGACCACAACCACGATCATGAACTTTGACCACGACAACGACGACGGCGGCGGCGGCCGTGCGGCGGCGATAACCATGACGACGACGCCACGACGACGACGACGCCACGACAACGACCACGACCACGACTACGACTACGAAGACGACGTTGAGGACGTTGACGACTTTGATCACTTCGACGACGACGACGACGACGACCATTACGACGACCACCACTTTACGATGACCACCATTACGATGACGACGACGACCGCGGCCACGACCACGGCCACGACCACGGCCACGACCACGACCACCACCCTGAGGACGACCATGGCGACGACGATGACGACGGCGACCATGATGACGACGATGCCATCCATGACGAGGAGGCGAGGACGACGACCACGACGACGACCACGCCAACATGCGACGACCACATACGACGACGACACACGACGACGACCATGACGACGACGACCACGACAATGACCACGACGACGACCATGACGACGACAAGGACAACGACAATGATGACGGCGACAACCTCGAGTATTACTAGTTATGCTAGCACCTGCACTTCACATGAGACACCCCTATTGAAGATACCTTGTTTCGATTTCTGTCCCCAATTGTTAGGGCTCCCCAGTTCCAAGGAGCTGCCACAACGGATGTAAGGGGTAGCATAAAACTCTGTGATGTTTTGGACTGCCGAGTTGTAAAGGATCATGACCGTGGCCCCACCTCATAAATGCAGGTCTGTGTGCCTGTGCGTTCGCCGTCGACTTGCGCTTGAAGTATGGCTTGTCAAAATACACCACATGGCTTGTGGCCATACCTGGAGGACCGTGTAACGTGATCTTGCTGCAACATAGAAGGGAGATCAAGGACCTTCGTGAACTCAAAAAGTGAGGACAGCTGCAAACATGACCGTGAAAGGGAAATCAAATGATCTGCACGTTTCAGAAGCTAGGTCCCTGAAGGTCGTCTGGCACAATGACAAGCCCAGGAAACTTCAGTTGGGCAGGTTATCAGCTCGAGCAAATTGAAAGCCAAAACGGGAACTGAAACGAAGTCCTCCTTACACAGAAGGTTGCGCGTATGTCCAGACATGTGCAACAGTGTGATTCATGTTTTAGTACTTTTTGTGGGAAGTTGGCAGAGTGTTGGCAGGATTTATCGCGGTGGAGATCTTGTCAAATTTCGTGAACATGAAGTTGTTGTGCGCCTGGCCCGGGATGATTTGGTCGGCATTCGACACTATTCGAGGATGCTTGGCTGCTGATGAGATGCGCTTCTCCAGTTACACCTGTTCTTGTTTTGGTGCAATTTGTTGCCATCTGATGTAAATTCTGCATGCATGCACATTCACTGAGCTTGCCAAACCAAATACGGCCAGGAGCGCTCGTTCAGGGTTCTATCTGATCCTATTATGCTTCGTTTCATTTTTCTACGAGTGACTTCGCAGATGTGGGCTTTAGAACAACCAATTGCATCACTGTGTGTCATCGCCACATTAAAAGGGATGCCAAAGCTGTTCGTGTGATAACAACAGAGCGCCTGCCCCGGGAACGTATTATTTGCAACTCAACAAGGCATCAACCGCCTGAATCCATAGCCACTGCGCAAACATTGACATTCGGAAAATCCAGTGTAGGCTCCGTGCACAGCAGTTCATACACTTGGTCCGAATGCTCATGACTACGTTTTTGTTGAGCGAGCTGCCTTATTTGTGCTCAAGGTAAGGTGCAGATGATCTTTTCAGCTTTGTTCAAGTTCAGGTGTTTCAGCAGAGCTTCTTTACTATCCAGAACTGGACATGTCCATCAGCTTCCATTCCAACATATTCCAACAATCTGAACTGGCAAATCATTTTGCAGCGCATGACCATTTCCCAGGCAAGCCCTTCTTCTATCTTCTTCTGAATGCAGGACTTGTGTCCAAGTGTTTTTCAATGCCCGCCGAAAATGAAGAAAAGCAGAAACGGAAACGGAAGGCCAAGGCATCAAGAACACTATTTCGAACATGACGAGTGAGCTCAACCGCAGAAATTGTGAAGGTAAAAAAGCAAGACAGCGGTGCTTCCAGTAGTGTGGGCACGAAGGATTTCGAGTTGCAAAATGTTTTTGATCTTGCGCAGCCGCTGAGGTTTCTATCTAGTGCAGCAGCAGAGCAATGCCTTCACTGCGGCACCTGAAGGCCATGAACCGGCCATGAAGCAAAAGCTGCAGCCAAAGTCATGCTTCTGGGTTTAGCGTATATTTTTTGTAATTTTGTAAGTTCATCCAGCGGTGTTCGCCATCACAAGATTTGCGTCAAGGTTTGCGTCAAGCCGTCGTAGGAGGTTGGAGGTTGGTGAATCTTGTCTAGGTTTCATGCAACTACCGCTTCCCCAACACCAGCAGACAAGGCCCTTCTCTGAGAACGAAAGCTCGTCGGGGCGCCAACAATTTTGATTTCTACTTGTAGGCTAGCGGTTTTTCTCCTGAAGCGCTCGAGGCAGTGCTTTAACTTGTTTGAAAAGTCATTAAACCCAACGTCCGTTCACTTTTTCCTGGATCTTGAGCCCAATATGATTCCAATCACCCTCTAGTTTGAAGATCGCGGCGTTCAATCAAAAATCGTTTCGGTGCTAATTCTACAAGTTTATATAGGTCCTCGGAAAGCTGATGCATTACTAGACGTATTCTTCGTGCGGCTTTGAGAAGCAGGCGAGGAGGTCACAGGATAGATGAGGCCCGGCTCGATTCCTCAACCTGGCCGACAGGTGAAGCTTCGAAGGATCAGATTTTGAAAGAGTCCCCACTGGCTTCACAGTCACGGCAAATTGAAGGCGCGGGCATCGCTTCACTTGCCACATTCGCTGCTTGTGACACTGAGGTTTAGATGGATCGTCAGCGAAAGAAGCAGACACTATCAGCACATCTTTTCCCTATGTGCTTCTGAATTGCAATGGCTACCATCAAGTTTTTACGTCATTTACAGGCACGCATTTTTCGTTTACGGTGCAAGCAAGCAACTGCATTACTTAGCCAAGCTAAGGACACCAAGCCTTGGCTGAGAATCGCATGTCTTTCGTTTTCCAAGCATCCGCCAATGGCTCATGGAAAGGCCATCCCCAAAGAGGATTATCCGATTCAAGTTGGTCGGATCTGATCCTGTACAGCAGAGCCAAGTTCACCTGAAGTTGTTTGTTTTTTGTGGCGAAGCCACGAGGTGCCTTGGCACGTGCTATCCAGCCAACCTCTCAAAGACTCCGATCCGAAATTTGCATGTGTGAGGCTGCTCCGGCCGCACGCCGGAGGTCGCTCCGCTCACGCAGCAGAACGCAGAACAAAGGAGTGCGCCATTGCCTTCAATCCCGCAGTAAAGGTACAGTACCGAGGTGATACATGGACCTTGCACAGCTGCAGCTATGTATTTTGAGCGCACACAGGCAAGCCATGGCAAACCTTGAAGCGTGAAGATGAACTTGCACTCCGGGTCCCTGAGGCACCGTCACGGATGGTGGAGAAAAGGAGCACTGGCTGGGCTGGCCGCCGAGGCGAAGACTCTACAAAAAGCAACCAAACAAACACTCCTCGGCGCAAAGATGAGCGCCCATCACGTTCGCTCTACAAGCCAGTTGTTTCAATTGCGTCTGTGTACAGCACAATTGTGGTCTTAGTTTGGCAACTCTGGACGGGAAAGCCTCATATGGTTCGTCCCATGCCGATCGACAAACCTGGCCAGGACTCAAGCTTTACGGAGTTGCGCAGGCCCGAACTACTAATCCGAACACAAGAAACACAGAGTGCTTCGCAATCAGCCATTGGCAAATCTGCTGCTCGGTCCAAAGCCGTCATAGCTGAAATCATGCCGCGCATGAGCAAGAACAAGATCACAGATGCACCGCATGATCGCACCGGAGGCCCCTTTGAAGCAACGGGGGATCATTTGCATGTGGCCTGGGGCTGGACGTATCAGGCTGCCAGTGGTTTGGTTGGTGACCAGAGGCAGCAAGAGGCGACCTCTGGCCTTGTGCCCAGACTGTTCGAGGAACGCGGATCCAGCCTGGGCTGGCAGAGTGTGTTCGAGGTTTTGCTGACATCCGGAGATAAGGTCACTGCTAAAGACTGCTCACTTCTAAAGCGCAGACCCTTGCAGGCGTCTCAAGAGGAGGGCTTCCTGCTTATTGGCGGCGAAGCTATTGAGCTGCAGTGCCCACTGGGGCTCTATGTCCAGTGGACCGCCGCATTGCTGCGCATGGCGGCAGGTGCAGAAGTTCTCCGCATTCGCTTCTTCTATGATACCAATCAAGCAGACTTTACGGTCATGAGCTTGACCTTGTGGGACTTTGACAGCACGTTGATGGCTGCATGTGGCAACAAACAAAGTCAACCCTTGGAACACTTTGACTGCTTCGGTGCCAGTGGTGAAGTGGATGGCAGCCCATTGATCCATGTTGGTCGTGGACTTTGGGTTGCTCTGGAACATCCACGTGCCGCTTGGCATCTTGAGGGCGCCTGAACGTCCTATGCTCAGCTAGGATCAAATGAGATCTCAACCACTCCTTGCTTTTTCCTGACCTGAGAGCACACTTCTCCGGGTATGAGTCTGCAGGTAGGGTTTGCAGACAGCCGGGCAATATCATGACAGCATATCGCTTGGATGATACTTGCTTCCCCAGATTCTGTGTGAGACAGATTAGATAGTTTGCTCGCATGCGCCACCGGTCATTCTAGTTCGTTCACCTGCTAGTACTGTCAAGCTGGCAATCTTTGCAGCTGGATGCGCTAGTTAGTTGTCTTAAGGCAGTAAACTTGCATTGTTTCGCACTTTAGGATGAGGCCATATTGGCACCCGCTGTTGGAAATTCATTTGCGGGAAGCTTATTCAAGCTTCAGGGGCCGTTCGAAAACTAGGTCCAACAATCGCCAACGGCTTCTGCCTTTGTCAGCGTAACAAATGTAATCTTGCACAAGTGTTGGACCTCTTGTAAGCTTGGCCTCCCTTCCCGGCAACAAATTGGGGGGGCTGCAGGGCAGAAAGTCGAGAGAAAGCGGCGTCCTCAATAAGCTCTCGGTTCTTTGGGCCGTGTGGATCGATTTGGAGGGGAGGATCTGGATCCTGTTTTTGCTCGAATGCCGAAACACATTAAAGTGAGGACCATATGAACGCAGGGTAATCCGGCAGTTCGAAGTCGAGCATGCGAAGGGTCGTTTCAATCCAACTTGCCGTTAGATCTGCCAGCATGCTTCGTATCTGAGGCTGCCCACGGTCTCAGAAGCAACGGGACACGAATGGTCGCCGAACTGCGTGACGCATCTCCAGGTATTCCGTATTTCGCATCTGCAGGCATCACTGGCCCCATAGGCGCCACCGCAGAAGAGTCCATCTTCTTATTGCGCAGGCACTTCCATGCCTACCTGCAAAAAGTTCGAGCTTCTCCGCCACGAACCTTCTTGCATTTTGCCACGTGGTATGACCTGCGCAGACACCCCTGCGTGGATTCCAGTCCTTTAGGCCTTCCGCACTGCTCAGCCGCCAAGGCCCTTAACGAACAGCACGTGCTACAGCGCATAGACGAGATTGTTGAACAACTGTCAGGCAGAGGCGTCGCACTATCAGGTGCTGTGTTGGATGATGGCTGGGACGATGCTGGGCTTCCTTGGCACCTCAATCGCGAGAACTTCCCAGGGGGTCTCAGCTCGATAGCTAAAGCTGCAGAGGCCGAAGGAGTCTCGCTTGGTGTCTGGATGTCTCCTTGGGGTGGGTTTGGGGAAGGTGGTAAACGCCGTGTTAAGATCGGTGCCTCCATGGGACTGGAGTATCAAGGCGAGAGTGCAACTTCGTTGCATTTCTCTGGGCCTCGCTATTTTGACTGGTTTTTTAATGCCACTTTCCAGCTGCTGCGCAGTGGAGTTACATTCTTCAAGTTTGACGGGTTCGGTTCCGGCCTTAAGGCTGGAGGTGCAGGTGAATACTCCAAAGACGTGGATCTTCTGCTATTCATGATACAGGAACTGAGGCTGCAGAAAGAGATCCGGGCATCTGGAGTAACAGGCACGTGGCCATCGCCTTGGTGGCTTTGTACTGTCGACTTTGTCTGGAGGGGTGGCCCTGATTTAGGTCGCAAAGGCGCTGGTTCGCCCAGGCAACAGTGGATGACTTTCAGAGACGCGATGGTCTTTGAGGTGTTCAGGCGTGCGCGATTGTTCCCGCTTTCGAGCTTGTCGCTGGGCGGCTTGGTTTGGAGCCGAGCGGAGGAGCCAGGTGCATACCTGAACTCTTTCGACTTGGAGGACTTCACCCAAGAAGTGCAGAGCTTGATGTTTACCATGTACCAGGAACTTCAGATTCAGCCATCCTTGTTGGCTCCTGCATCTTGGGACACACTGGCTGCCTACGTCAATTTGTCGCATCGACATGCCGCCGTTCTGGCCGATTCGCACTGGCTCGGCGGCGACCCATCACGGGGCGAGGCTGGGTAACCGCATGACAGGCCGCTAAAGCCAACTTAGATACCATGCGGGCAAAGATGCTGTTCACGCACATGCGTTGGTTTGCGGCAAATGATGCATGGCAATGACATAAAAGTACAGTACGTGCTTTGGTGATTTAGGTGTTAGTGATTCCTTGTCTTTTTGTGTGTGTGTGTGTGCGCGCGCAAGCCTGGACAAGGGATTGGCATTTTGGAATTTTAGAATCTAAGCAGGTGGGCAACCCCGATATCGAAATTCATCAACTCCACGTACGTCAAATCTCCATTTACCTGCAAGTGACAAAGTTGTCACCCATCTGTGCTGTGCAGGGTAAGGTGTTGTTGCGCTACAACCAATTGTACTGGTTCCTGTTCTAGAGTCATTGCAACGCCTGAACATGTTAAGTGACAGCACGCAAGAGACGAGACACCATCAGAAAAAAAAAGAGAATAACAAATGTGAACAGAAACTAACAAACTTGCTAGACCACCGGTTATGTCCAAAACCTAATGGGTTGATCCAAGTGCGTGCGGCTTGCCAAGCAGCCTGTGACGTCGCCACTGCTTTGGGTATTATATTTCAGGTATGCGTACCGCATGAGAAGCTTTGCTGCTCTTTCCGATATCACGCGTGACTGTGCCACGGCGCAACGAGACGCCTTCCCAAATTCTAGCAGATGCTGCAGATTGCGGGAAAGTGATTGAGATGCGGCTGCTGATGGTATTCCTTCTTGCAGATGTCTGAACAGACGGCAACTGTACCATGTGCAGGTCTACGGTTATGCAGCCTTCGAGTGCCCTCCTTGCGTTGGGCTCCTGCTCTGGCGAAATCCGAGTGCGGAAGCTCAAAACGTCAGGAACCAAGCTTGCAACTCGTATTACGGCACATTGCATTGTTCAAATGACGTTTCGAAAGACAGGGGCCTTGCGGACTGCGCAGCATGGGAATTCACCGTAGCAGGCCCTTGAGTAGAAAGTGCTAAAACACAGGACCTGCCAGATGTGGATCACACGAAATGGGCCATACAACAGGTGTCGTGATCGTCAACATGTCTTGACATTTTGAAGCCCGCGCTGGAACATGTTGCCGCAGTCTGTGTCAGCGCTTGCCGGTGCATGCCCCTAAACTCGAGGGTCTCCATAGACATCGGCCGCTATCACATGCGACGAGAGGGTGAAGAGCATTTTCTTGTCAAGAGTGCAAGTGCTGATCGACTGGCTCTGGTGAAGGCCTGGATGACGGATTCCCTGCCACTGCAAGCCACTGCAAGCCTGAATGCTGTAAGAATCCGACACCGGTAGCAAGCAGGAGTACCAGAGTTTAGGTTGAGAAAGACCGAAGTGACGTCAAGTCAGGGTCAAGCTCTACAGCCATCCTGCAGGTCAAGAATTGGACAGGCCTTTTGTTTGAAGGCTTGCAACTTATGTACGGCAACCCTTTAGGACGAAAGCCAAACGCTCAGCAAATACAATCACGTGGCCACAGCAATTTGTTGTAATGGGTCGCCATCGCGGAGTCATACGCGATCAAAATGTCATGCTTCAAGAGGGTTCTTGCCAGCATATAATGCAATACCTTGCCTGCGGCATTCTGTCGCATAGGTCACCTTCACGTTACGGTCAGCGTTGGCTTTGCCACAGGCTGGGCTGGGCTTGCAAAGCCTCAGAGGCAGTAGGCTCTGAAGTTGCATTCCACAGGCGTGGCCGGGAGGTGCATGCCCCAGGTGTGCGACATTCATACTTACATACGTTTCACATGCAGCCGCACATGCGATCCATGGATTCTAAAGGCAGCTGCAATATCTAAAGGCACTCCTCCCTGAGTTGCCAGGGACGCTCTATATCACATGCACTGATTCTAGCTCAGGTGCAGTCGGTGGGCGATGGCAAGTCAAACAGATTTCAGGACAGCAGGCCGGATGCCGGCGGAACTTCACCAGCGGGTTTTTTGTCAGTCCCTTGCCAGGGGACTTTGACAGAGACTGACCTGGCATGGGACGCAACTTGTCATGATAAGAAATGCTGTCCGGGAAAGGCGGCTATCATGCGAATGATTCCAACTCAGGCTGTGCCTCTAGACCATGCCGCGCAATTGCGGACCTTGCCTTGGCAGTTCCAATGTGGCGAGTGGCGCTTTCCATAGCCATTGCATGCGACATGCAGCCGAGGCTCGTAGCCTTCCAAGTGCGGGTGTTTGAGGCCTCCACGGATTCCTCTTTGTGCGCATTGTGCATTCAAGCCCAAAGACTCTGTTTGGGAATCTTGCAGGTGACGCAGGTGCAAGTCTGAGAGGCCAGAGCCAAAATGGTGCGGCTTGCAGACACACCGCCTCCAAGTAAAAGTAGTATCCATTGAGCAAACGAGCGAGAACGGCGAGAGCACGTCCCTGATGAGCTTGGTGCCTTGAGACAAAGATCTCTGCCGAAGCAGCACTGGTTGCGTGGAGGTGTATTTTCGGCATCCTGGACAAGATCTGTCTCGCTTATGTGCAGCAGCAAGCCCACCCACCCCACCTGCCATCACCATCACCATCATCACCATCATCATCTTCATTTAACGGACCGCGTGCCAACGTGGACGCACGCGCTTCAGTTGAAGAACATCGAGAGAGCGCTGACGATTGGAGGCTCAAGGGAGCACAAACCTGGATGTCAATTTGAACAGACCAGATAGGCTGACGCGTCGATGACATGCGACAGCAAGAAATGCTTGAGATGCATGGATTACAGATTTGTTTTGTTTTCACCTTGCCACGTTCTTGCAAGCAGATTCGAGCTGTAACAGCAGGTTTCGCTCAAGGCTGTCTGGCTGTGGCAGGAGGATGTAAGTAATGCAAGTAGTCAAGACGAGAGTGGGAGCACCAATCAAGCCTCAAACCACGTGCACTTTGAAGATGGAAAAAGTAAAATGCATATCGTCGCCCATGGCGCCTCTTCATCTCTGATCGCACGTCCATGAGAAGATGGGCTGTTGCAGTGCCCGGGCACCCTCTGAGCTTGAGTTGGCGCAAAGCAGGCTGCTCCAAGTTTGCTGTGCTTGGCAGAATTTGGCAGAGTATTTAGGATGCCAAGATGCAGAAGAAATGCAAGGACCTCCGTCGGCCTCTCTCAGAGCATTTAGGGTCCGCTTTCACTGCTGGCTGAAATCATGAATCATAGTGTAGTGTGAGAGAGCATGAAAAAGAATGGAAAAGGTAAACCTGTCCTGAAACAATATAAGATTCCTGTTGCAACTGGGAAGAGCTGGAAATCTTTCTGCCCAGCTTTGCGCCGAGCAACTCAGAATGGCTGGCGCTGACCCTTCCACACGCTCTCAGCCATTGCTTTACTGTCCGTTGCATTGCGACCCTGATCTGGCCAATGCTTGGGATTTTGGGCCTTGCCCGGATGCTGAAGATGCGGCTCCGTATTTGAGGGCCGTCCAAAAACCCTGTGCGCGATTCATACCGACGAAAACCAAGTGCTTGTGTGGCATAACTTTCCTGCGTTCGCAAGCTCCGCGCAAGCACAGCGCTAGAAACGTTGCAAGTGTTTGACTATTGACTATTGAGCTATGACTGACTATTCGCACTGCGGCCCCTGAAGACTTTGCCATGGGACCGTTGTATCCCAAGTGTATCATTCTGTCCGAGCACCTTCCCATGGCCCTGCTACGGTTGGGCCCAGTGGTCCGGTTTGCTGTGCTATGCTTTGACCCACGCCATTTCCTGTGTTGTTATGGTCTTGCATTGGTGCGTGGTAGCTCACTATGCCTAGTCTCCCCTCTTCCTGTTACTTGGCCTATCTTGGGCCCATTTTGCAAAGCATGAATCAACTGCGAAGATGCCGCAGTACAGCGCGAATCTGCGCATACTGCAATGGTGTGTAGCTTCTTCATGCTAATTATGGCTTCCTGAATGTCTTCGGGCTCTGGCCTGCTGGGCCAGTCATGACTTGTAGCAGCATCAGTCATCACAATTTATCACTTTGATGTGTCTCCACGAAAGCCGGTTTGAGCTAAACTGCGCGCGCAAGCACAGCGCAAGCCACGAATTCGAGATGAAGGAAGAGCGAAGAGTGAAACTACAAAATCACAGGCGAAAGCAGGAAACATTGAGAAAGTAGGTAAACAGTACTGTAGGAGACCAATGGTCCATGGAAGACATGGAGAGCCATGAAAACAGGAGGAGTAGGAACATAAGGATGTGTGAAGTTGATATGATAAAATTAGGAATACCAGTTTAAACTTGTGAGACATGAAAGAAGTGCAATTGCCTCGTCTGATCCCTTCCTGCTGCCCGGCGCGCTAGATGTTCACTTCTGCGTTTGCTCCCTTTGTTGCACCCGTGTTATCTTTGTCAACACACTTTTCCTTGCTGACGTTCATCCTGTTGGGCTTCAGTTCTATGATTGGATTCTGGTTGAAAATCGTTCAGAAACGCAATTGTGTAATTCACAATTTTCAGCTGGATTGTTCTGGCATTGTTCCCCACTGCATATGACTTGTTTACGCAGAATATGATTGCGAAACTTCCCAGTGGCAGCAGTCATCGACGACGTAGCGCAAGGTATGCCTGAATTAGATGGTTCTTGCAGCCTTCATTCAAGACCTTGCATCTGGCTACACCGTGCGTGCAGGTTGAACGTCCCCTCCGCTGGCAGCAGGTATTTGCTCGGTAGTGCCTCGCCACTATTCAAATCACCAAGAAGCACGGCGGAAAGGTTGGTGACTCTGGAGCCTGGAGTATCCAGGCTATACCACGTCACGTGATACTTCTTGTGCGGATGAACACGAAATTGTTCGTTCATAGCTTGAACAAGGCAGCCTTTTGCATCATTAGCGATGCTGGAGGAGGCCCCAGCATTCCAAGGGGCTTTACAGTCGAGATGCTGCTCGCAAATCCGCGAAAAGGCTTTTTCCAGATTGTGCCTGATAAAGTTGATTCCGGGGTCGGCTATCTGAAGCTGGACGTGCAAGCCTTGGTATTCAACGCCTCGGATTTGTCTTTGTAACACGCTTTGTGCTAGCGGTCATGCTGAAAGGAGTATTCCACTTTGTGTCAGCCACTCATGGCACAAGGCCAAGCTGGCTGCCGCAGGGGCTTTGAGGCGGGAACAAAGAGTTGCCTCATCATGAACTGCCCACCATGCAGGCGCTTGCCGAGCTCGAGGGTGGTCCCTGGAAGATATCTCTTGAAAGAAGCGTGCACCCTGCGTGAGGGACCTTCCTCACAGAGCCAGGACAGCAAAGCATCGCAAAGCGAGTGTGAGGTTGTGGTGGTGAGCTGTAAGGGAGGAGCATGTCAATCTTCCATGCTGTGTCTGAAATAACTCTTGTCAAAGCCGGAGGCTGACATCCATGCCATAGGTTACCCCAAAGCAGCAGATCGCGAGTCCCCAACTCATAATTGAATCATCTGGTGCAAGCATTCAGTTTCATCTTGACAGCAGCTAATCTGCAACGTTGCCAGGAGCTTGTCGAGGTTGGCCCCTGCAAGTTGCCCAGGGAATGTGCTGTGAGCTGTGTATCAGCTGGCTATGGGGACCGTCTTGCCACCGCCGTCACCACCACTGCCGCCGCGTTGCCTGCTTTCTGTACAAACTTACTGCGTTCACTGACCTGCCTGCCTGCCTGCCTACATAGCTACTTAGCTAGCTTGTGAAGTGATGGCAATGGACTGCTGCTTACTGATGCTGCACGTTGCGCTCGGCTGTTGGTAGTGAGTCGCTGCTGCTATTTGTATCGCTTCTGAATCACAACATTGGAGCATGACGTGGCCTCCAATATGGGGAGCAGGGTCCTAAATCTGGGAACCCTGATAGACCTTTGATGTTACAAACATTGCATCCCGACGGGCTTGTCGAGTTTGTGGTTGCACCTGTGTGGTGGCATCTTTGTGTCTTCGTAAAGGCGTTGGGTCCAAGGTGAGAGGTCAAGCCATGATCAGCTTCAGTCTCGACAGGCCCAGTGTTGAATGTTGGAGATGTTTGATGTTTCGAGCCTTTCAGTCCCGTAGGTGTTGGCTATGAAGCTATTCAGGGTTGCTGAGCTGCCCCAAAATCTATAGCTCTTCCAAACATTCGTATCCTAAAGCATGCGTCCATAAAACAGGCTGGCCAAATTGATGTCAGAAATTCAGCTTTGCAACTTGCGTAGATTGCCAGGTGATGGCAGGACAGGAAGTCTTGCTCTTTGAGTTGGCCTGCCATCCACGAGCCAGTGGCAAGTGCCAAGTCCACGCACGAGTGAAAACCCAAGGCACGCGAGCAGGGCTGCAATGGGCTGCTTGTTCGTACTTGTTCCATGGCACAAGGCTGTCATGGCCATCCATGGCCGCCATTACTTTCAAGTGCAGCTGGCCCTGCTGAGAGATTCGTACATGGCCAGCGGTCGCAGGGGCTTCTGTGAAATCATGAGTAGAGGAGGGTTTAGTGTCCGCCATGAAGCGTATATGCCATAGGCATCCATAGGCAATCTTACAAGAGGCAACGATGTCTTGGACATGGGCACCTTAAGGCTTCCCGCAATCGAGTTTAGGTCATGGACTTCTGACAACCAACCGCATGCCTTGGAATCATCACGTGAGGTAAGATGTATGTGCTTGAAATGTTTCATTCATGTGTTACCAGTGGTACTGTAAATATAGTAATGTTCTTGATGCTAGCCGTGATTTATCTGTGGCTATTCGAGACAATCTCTAGCGCAGGCATCCGTGGTCTCAAAATTAATTAGTATAGTTATTTCATCTTCTTGCTATATCTGTCTGTATCTGTTTGACTCCTTTCTTTGGATACGAAAGATACAGTAGCTGAGCATTTTTAATTTGTGATAATGTTGTGAAGAAAGACAGACTGGGTTTGTAACTGGCTTGGGAGGCCACTCCGAGATGTAGGCTTGTAATGTTTGCTTGCGATAAGCACCTTTGCGACAAGGTTCTTTCAACTTTCGTGGGGCACAGATGTGCCAAGCATGAGGCATTTGCGACAATGGTATGTAAGAACAGGCCGCAGCAAAGGGATACGTAACAGTGGGTGGGGGAGGGGGTGGGGGGCGACAAAACGGATTTTTCATCCACAGCCAGCTTAAGGGTCACCAATCATAGACTACATCTAGAGAGGTCTCTCACAAACATACACAGACACGTATGTGCGTATTTGTGAGTTTGTTCCTGTGTCTTTCTTTGCCGCTGTCATTTGTATATTCGAATAATGAATATATCTGAATGCCAGATTTCAACGATGTCTACGATGTGGCTTATGACACGCTCAAAAGTGTTCAAGATAAACATTCGCTTCAGACTAGTTTGGCGTCTTGCACGCTAGATATTTGGCCGACATTCATTTGTAGACATCTCCTAAAAGCGTGTCAACCTAGAAGGTATAAGCATGTCTGAACAAGACAAAACATAATACACATTTCGGCGGCGCAGCTTAGAGTGGATTAAGAATCCTCGTCAGTGGTGCAAGCAGAATGGAAGATATACACAAGCTGCACACTCCTTCTAACATCTTTCACAGGATGCCTTAGTGCGTGTATGCATTACTTATGCCATCTATTTGACTTGTTCTGGAAATTATGGAGCCCTTTGGGTTGTGGATTATATTACGGCACCTGATGTTTAGGGGTACCAAAATGGGACCCTAATTTTGGGAACTGCCCATATATACATAGATATACACACACACAATATACACACATATAAACACTATATATATATATATGTATATAGAGATAGAGAGAGATGGAGAAGCGCATGGGTGCGAATGGAGACGCATAGTCTCAATGACATTTACTGCGGAAAGCGTGCAGCGTACATTCAATGGTATTCAACTGATTCTGAGTGACATTTTGAAGAGCTTAGTTGCTCTTTAATTCGCAAAATTGATACTTACATACATAATGTTGAACCGTGATTAGTCCCAGAGGGAGGTTGCAATGAAGTAAGATTTTCATTATAGACCTTCCCCTGATTTGTTTGGGCGGGCAGACGCGCACTAATCCGCATCCAACATTATTCATTCACATTTTGAATGTAGATGCTCGTATTTCCCTTTCTTACAGAGTGTTATCTTCTCAATCACTACTGTATCTACCTTTGATACTATTCAGCCAGAATGTCTGGTGGAGGCTGATGAGGACCACAGTGGCTATATAGAACAAAAGCGGCCATATTAATCAAAAGCGGCCCAATTACGCACATCATGATTGTCAAAGCGGAGGCTTGTATTTTGCATGTGTGTAACTGATCCTCACCCTTTCATCTACAAATCCTGCAAGTGAACTCAACTTTGTTGCGGCGCGCTTGATCTAATGGCTGACGGGACGACGCTCAAGCAGCCGTTATCCTGTCTTGTAGGGTTTGGACTCTGCGGGAGGGCTGTCCTCTGCGCGTTTAGTTCGATAGCTTTTCTCTTTTTTTGATTAGCGACTATTGTGGGAAATCACGAAACCCTTGCCAGCTGCGATTTTCCACTCGGTGCGCATTGCTAGCACTCGAACGTGACCCACCCTTTTGATTTTAGGATCATGCAAAGATTTTTGGAACGGGATACACGGGTTGCACGCCGCACCATGGGACATTCAGAGCTGTAGTGTCAGGCCGGCGCATTGGCTGGATGCCGTTCAATGACGAAGAGATTTCCAAATTGGGAGCAATCAACTTGTTGGGTCCAGATGTGGCGACAATTGGGAAAGCGGCTTCGGAAGGCTCTGAAAATGTGTGTTGGGCAATGAATGACGACCTCGCCTGACCTCACCTTAAGACGTAGCTTCAAAGACATAGTCCCAAATTCTCTTAATTTTAGCTTCTGAAGTGCAAGCACAGGGGCCGTGAAGTAGTAAGAGTCCAGTTTGAGATCAGGATAACTGGATCAAAGTGAATGTTCCAGTAATTCCCTCTGAAGCATATGTTTGGCATTATTCTAGCTTTTCTGCGAGTCGTCTTATGAAGCCCTGCAGAAGGTTTGACTTCTGGTCGTGCTCCGTGGCAGGTCCCTTGCATAGTTGCAAGATCTATGCATGCTGCCTGTAACCGGAATGATCTCAAAGCCAAGGCTTGTTTTGGTTGAGCTGCTGGCTAGTGGCTTTTAAGTCTGCGTGTTTGCTGATGCAATGCTGAAATGCTGTGAGACATGTCGGGCTGCATGCTTGCAGGTTGGCCAGTTCTATCGGACTTTGAAAGAGCAGCCCCTTCTGGAAGAGCCGGTCAAAGCTGCTTCGCCGAAGGAGCTTGGCAGAGTCCCAGGTGTCATCAGATGCAAAGAAATGCGAAGTGCGCAAAAATGCGTGACAATTCAGCTGTTGGAACTCTAGTCGCTTTCAGGTGGATCGCTTGTTCAGATCCAGAAGGCCGCTGACACATCGACTCCAGAATTGGGCCGAAAGCTGTGGCTTTGCATTAGTGCAAGCCTTACTTACCGGAAGTCGAAGTAACATGAAGGCCATCGCGACATGTCAGCAGCCTTCGCTCTTTTTGGACAAGCTCTGAATCTTAGCATATCTTAGGTGTGGCAGATGGCAAAATGTCGGGAAGTCACGGTTGGCTGCAGTCTATGGAAGGCAGCGAATATTTGATCGACATCCGAGCGCAATGGAGTGAGGAAAAGCTTGTTATTGAAGAGTTGCTGGCGGCCGAGTTGGCGCCCATGTCTGCCTTGCGAACGACAAAAATTGGCAAGGTTTCTGGTGAACGGGCTTCGCAACCCCCGCTGGAGGTATTGGGAATGGATGCGCAAGCTGACAGCCAGCCAGAACACGAGCTCGAGGGCCACGATCGAGACATCGCCTGTGGTTTCTGCACATGCCGATTGCTGCCAATCGGGAGGCTGAAGTCTGGAAGCTTGCTGCACTTGCTGACAGCATGTAGCGTAATGCAGCATACCATAGTATACCAGTCAAGATCAGATAGGTAGGCGCGAAGCAGTAATGCCCGTATTGCTGGTGCTCTGCTGGCTGGGACTGGAAGGTTGCATCCGACAGTTCGCCGTGACCATGATGCTGGCCTGCCTCCTGCACCCGCTGACTCAAAGGCGCTTTCAACCCAAGATCTGCGGCGTTGGTTGACCAGCGTCTACTCGCGCTTCAACCCAAACCTGCTTCCTCGCGTGCAGGGCTCACTTGACAGTTCAAAGATGTTCAAAGAAAAGCTAGAGAAAAGGCTAGGCTGTTTCTGGTGTACAGTTAGTTGTTGAGATGGGTGATCGACTTATACATGTGACCAACAGGAGTCGAGCTATTTACAGGACCGGTAGTTCAGGATGAACGGTAGTTCAGGATGTTCAGGTTGACCCAAACTTCATGACAGCAGTCACTCACTAGTGAGGCTTGACTGCCAAAATCAGGTATCGTTTTCTTTTGGAAGACAGCGTTTCCGCTTGTGTTTGCTTGACTTCAATCACGAGACCTGCACGAGGCATCAGGAGTTTGGTGCTGTCATCCTAGGAAATGCCGTTTTTCTTTGTGAATGGCTGCCTGCAAGAGTGAGACGTTTTTTGTCTTTGCCATGTGGCGGGCCCAATGCAGAATTCCTTGCTCCTGACGGTCGCGCTAGGTTCATCATAGGCAGGCGCTTGCATGTTGTGCTTTCAGCATGCAAGCCTCATGGATGAGACGTTTGTGCATGCAAGGGTTCACACATTGGGCTTTGTAATCCACATTGACAAAGGCAAACCAAGGAGGGCGGCGCAAAGGGGCAAGGGCATGCAGCGGCAGCTTCTCAACAAAGTAGTCCCAAGCAGTGGCAACCCACAGCCTGAGCGCAACTCACAACCTCGTCCAAGGCTTAGCCTTCGTGGAAAGTTGCGTTCACCCTAGATTTGCCTGAGCAGCAGGTTTTGTCTGCGGGGGTTTCATGCTGCCCTTTTCATGCTTTTGTGCCTTGTCATTGCATCTTCAACCAGTTGTCTTTCTTTTTGGCGTGAGATGGGTCTGCATCGAAATCCAGATTTGACCGCTTTCAGGAACAGGCATGAATGCATGCACGCTATTGATTGCCGAGCCGCTTGGAATTTGAAAGCTACCTTGTAGTACGCTGACCGGGCAATTTGCAATGCGCCGGCTTCAAAAAAGAAAGACAAGTGATGAAACGATTCTCTTCAGACCTCGCCAGAAGCAAAACCTGAAGGCTGAACCTAGCAGTTCTCCCCACAATCTGCAGTTAACGAACCAAAGCGCATCCTACCCAAACATCGGCACAGGCGGCATATTGCACAACTCTGCACAGGGCAGGGGTGCATTTGCAGCCGCTGTCCACATGAAGGTTTGCATGCAGGATGGCGTATCGTCTGCGGGGACAGTATGGCTCAGTGAGGATGTTTGTCGTCCAAGTACCAGCGGGTGACTGGGGATCTGTAAGAATCCCACCGCGCATGTGCAGTAGCAACACCAACAGCACCAGGAAGAGAAGGAGGAGGAGGATCAGGAGGATTAGAAGAGGAGAGAATCAGAGCGAGAAAGAGGCAGCATCATCATAATGAGGAGGAACAACGAGGAGGATCACGCTGGTGATGAGGAGGACACCAGCCTCAACCTCAACAGCGTTTAGAAGATCTGCTTTGGATCTACGAGAGCTACAGCACTAATTCCAACCTGTGGGAGCAGCAGCGGCAGGACGAGCAGCAGGAGCAGCCGCAGCAGAAGGATGAAGCTAGGATCAGAACAGTAGCTGGATGGCTTGTCTTTGGCCAGCTTCAAATCACGATCATGTTGTGGGAATCCTGCCCTGAGCAGAGATGCAAACGGCAATGTGTCCACTGCCGGTTCTCCCGACTGCAATCCCTCTTGTTTCTCCAAGTACTTTGCCACAGTTACAACCACTACCGGCAAGATTGGAGCAGCTAAAGCCATCCTCTCCAAACCAAGGGAAAGACTCCAGTGGGATTCCAATTTAAGCTGTGCACAGCTGAGGTGCCAGAATTCATGGAGAAGTACCAAGGCAAAGAACCTGAGCTCGTGGAAAGTGTTTGTGGGAAATACCGTGTTGCTGCTCCCCCGGGATGGTGCAAGACAGGCTAACAGGGCCCGACTTCACTTTTTTTCATGCAGAACAACGTGTCTGCTGTTATCTGGGAAGCTTCACCATGGCAAAAGCAAATAGCGTGAGCGCATAACATTTGGACGTTCCCCGAAGACAAGTGTATCATGTGTATTCAAGCTGTCCAGTAGGTCACATCAGCGTTGCAAACACAGTGACCAGTGCAAGTGAGTGTCCAACCCAGAGCGTCTCAACAGATATAATTAGACACAAATGCTTGCAGCAACAGCCCAAAGACTTGGCGGTCCCAACGTCAGAACCTCCAAGCTTCTCAGCTGAATGTGTTCATCACTGCAGTCCACATCTCAATCAGCCAAGTACCTGCCTCACGTGCATGAAGGTATGCATGGAGCTGCTGTTTTTCTAGATGGAGCCCCAGGCGCCGCAACATCCTGCAATTACTTGGTGGGTGTCGGTGTGAGCAGACATCATTGCTTATTCTGCAAAATCTAATTTGCTGTTGATGTCGCGAAGAAGCAAAGTTTTGGTCAGAGCTCGAGGTCTCTGCAAAAGCAGTATGTAGAAAGATGATACGTCACAGCAGGCTTGCCTTGCAAGTAAGGCGATACGTGTCAGTCAGGACTTGAGGCCAAAGTGGTACTGCAGTGGAAATCAGAGTCGGTTTCAGCAGAGAAGTGCCAAGCAGCCTGTCACCTCTCAGGCAGGCCTTCGCAAGTCAGTGTCAACCGGGCTTGCCGCTTATATGGCTCACGTGCGTTGAAGATCTAGGTCATAACATGCATAATGGCTCTGGCCCGCAATTGTCTGATCAGGTGGAACACATTTGGCCCTATCGAGCTCAAGCCACCAGCTCAACAAGAATCCCGCCCAGCCTTACGCAACCTGCACCATTTCGCAACGCTCCCAGCAATCCTTCGGCGATTTTGCTCTGCAACCCATGTTGCTTTTGAGAGGTCATTCCGCTTGGCCTGGTTGGCATCTACCTGATAATCTATGGCCTTCTGCGATGGAAGCTGCAGGACAGAGTGAGAGGGCTTTCAATTTCGCCGCCCAAGAAGAGCTGCATGTCATCAAGATCGAAAGGCAGCAGGTTTGTCTGCTGCGGCCACCAGCACCGGCACTAGCACGGACACCAGCACCAGCATTGCCGCAACCGCCACCGCCACCGACAGCACCAGCCGTACCAGCAGCACCATCACCAGCACCATCAGCACCAGCCCCAGCACTAGCAGCCGCACGGGATACCTATCAAAAGCAAAATCAACCAAATGCTAATATAGTCAAACTATTGAATCATCATAAACATTATTCCACTAGCCAAATGTCGACGGTCGCTTTGGGCCCTCAGAGTCATGAGTCACACGAATTTTGCGGGTTCCGGGTTGCGATCCTCGTAACTGTCGTCGCTTTTGGACCCTCAGATCTTCTTGGAGAGAGAGACAAGAAACAAAGTAGCAAGGAAAACAACAAAGAAAGGAAGTAATTAAGAAAGAAGAACAGGAAATCAGGAAGCCGGAAAGAAAGAAGGCAGCAAACAACAGCAACAAAAATGGCCGGCAAACCCTGAGCTTTAAGAGAAAAGTTGGCTGGTAATCCACTGCTTGCAGCAAGGGAGGGTTGTGTGGATCATTTTGTTTGCAAATGGTGGGGTGGCCCCCCCCCCAACCCCCACAGCTTTTTCAAGGCCGGCCATGCATGCTAGCAATAAACAAGAAGCATCATGTCAACACCATGTTAGCAGTAAAGGAGGGTTGTGCGGATCATTATGTTTGCAAATGGGGAGCGCTGCGCCCTGGTGCCGTCAGAGGATTGTTGATGTGTTAAAGCTCCCCTGTAAGATGCGCACCATGTCGCTGTGTTGGGAGTCCACAGTGCGCATGAGCCTTATCTTGAAGCCAGTGCTGTGCGCTAATTGTGCGCTGTAGGCAATGCAGGCACAAGCAGACACTGCATAGTTTGGCCTACTTGTCCAGCTTTGCCAGGCCATGCACTGGTTTTCGTGGTTTGCTTGTTTGGTTGTAGTTTGGGCATTGCTCTGTCTCTCATGTAAAAAAAGAGGATCGCGACCCCGACCCACGATCCTCGTGACTGTGCACACTTCTCAAACTTTAACAGGATTCGAGGGTCCAAAAGCGACGACAGTTACGAGGATCACGACCCCGACCCCCAAGATCCCTGTGACTGTTGACGCTCTCTTCGTTCTTCAAATTCTCAGACGGTTTGGGGGTCTAAATGCAATGGGAATTATGAGGAGAGCGCCCCCTGACCCCTACGATCCCTGCTGTGACTGCTGACATTATTTGACATGGCTTAGATTCCCTGGGCGGCTGCGGGGGGTTCTGATGGTGTAAGCTCGGCCGAGATGTAATTTCACTGGCAGGCGTGGATGACCAATAGCAGCATGGAAACAGCGCTCAGGGATTGGGCTCCTGTAACCAGAAGCACCATAGAAAAATCAACGGAATTGGCTGAGGCAATTGGAGTCAACAATGCGAATACAAGTTTTAGCAAGGGCGCCGCTGGCTTAGACCAAGGCGGCCCCACCCAAACCTGATGATGAAGGCTTGGGTAATGATTTCTTTAACGGTGTTTTTTTTTCAGCTTGAAGAGAATCCGAGGGTCCAAAAATGACGGTTACTAGGATCGTGACCCCGACCCACGATCCTGGTGACTGTTGACACTTTTTCAAACTCCAAGAGCACCCGAGGGCCCAAACCGCAGCAGTAGCAGTAGCAGCCGCAATGCTAGTGGCAGTGGCAGTAGCAGCAGTAGCAGCGTAGTAGTGGCAGTGGCAGTAGCAGTAGCAGTAGCAGTAGCAGTAGCAGTAGCAGTAGCAGTGTCAGTGTAGTAGTAGTAGTAGTAGTAGTAGTAGTAGGAGTAGGAGTAGGAGGAGGAGGAGGAGTGGTAGTGGTAGTGGTAGTGGTAGTGGTAGTGGTAGTAGTAGTAGTAGTAGTAGTAGTAGGTGGCCGTAGCAGTAGCACTAGCAGTAGCAGTGGCAGGGCAGCAGTGGAAGCAGCGGTAGTAGTTGTCTTCGTAGTAGCCGGAATCCCGATAGAATCCCTAAAAGATCACCTTCGGGTTGCCGCATGCCACCGAATAGGGCAAACCAAGACTACTCTTGACAGCTTTTGAAGGCTTGCATCCCGTAAAGCCGCACATGAACCCACACTAGTGATTAGAATTGTACTGATGATGCCTGTGTGCGGGGCGTGTGCGCGCCCTGTACAGGCGAATCATCAGTACAACTGGGCTTCCACTTCGCTTCTCGGGTCCAATCTGTCTCATTTGCATGCACTATGCTTTTGAAGCCGCTTAACATGTCCTGAACGCAAATGAAACCCATCCAAGACAATCCACGCGATGTATCTGAGCTTGCCTTTTTCAGGCGGACAGTCCTGAAAGACGGTTAGCAGACCGCTGGCTTTGGCCACGGGCTGAGACTCAGCCATTCGTTTAATTTCTGCAAGGGGCCTTTTCGCTTCAATCGCTCTTTGTGCTGACGCAGGATCACGTACTTCTCTGCAGTCAATACTTCTGTCATCTTCTATCCGCCGGTGAAACGCTGGTTGTCTTATCGACAGCACTGCTTGAGAAACAGCTTTCACCAGGTGAGGGTAATATACTTGTATTCGTGAGTAACAGGTGCATGTTTTAAATCACACCCTCTTGTTGCTCTAAGGGTACCCTCAGCTTCTTGTCATGAATTTCGTGATTTTGGAAACTCACGCGCCTCAAGTTCAAACACCCCTTCGCAATTTCAGAACAAGAGCTCCGCATAGTCTTACATTAATAAGGCAGGCATCTTATTTTGTGAATGTAACCCAGGGGTGGCCCGAGGCTACTAAGGATCTTTTCGTTTGAGGGTGTTTTAATTTAGATTGCAATGGCTCAGGCAGCCTTTGAGACATTCTTGCTTCTACCTTTTTTTCGGAGGTTTGGTTACCTCAGTTCGCAGGGGGAGGCATCGAGTGTGAGCTCCGATTTGCGTCGAGTGTGCGCTCCAAATGCGTCGAGTGTGCGCTCGTAGGTGTGTTTCGAAGCAGAATTGCTAGGCCGCACCCTAAACCCTAAGCCCTAAAACCCTAAAACCTGAACCCACAACCCTAAACCCTAAAACCCTGAAATCGTAAAACCTGAACCTAAACCCCAAACCCCGAAACCCTAAACTCTTAAACCGCAGAGGATGCAGATTCGAGAAATGCGCGCCGGATGCAAATGGGAGTGCGCACTGGATGCTGATTTCGCAGTGCGCACTGGATGCAAATGGGAGTGTGCACTGGATGACCCTCCCTGCGACGGTTCAAATCTCTCTAATTGGTACACATGCTGTCGTGCAGTACAAGCCCTCGGCCGCCCCCGGCCAAACAAAGGACAATACAGAGCTCATTCTACTTGAATTGGGTTCAAGATGCAGTGCTCATTTTCTGAATTCGATGGTGTCTAGATTAAGAGGACTTGATTTCAAGCGTTGAAAGAAAGAATCGGCCAAACCAAGAAAGAGCAAACTGAGAAAATCACGCCTCCAAGGTCCACCCGCGTTTCCTTACTTTCCAACTGCGCGTTGTTAGACAAGAATGTTTGTATTCTTGCGTCTGGCGAGGGACTCGTTCTCTCAAACCCACCATTACTTAGAATCTCGCTTGAATGTGCTGTTCCGCTCGCGCCGTTGCACATGACAAGGTGCTGGCCGGCTTTGTACACGGGTCAGGTGCTGACATCAGATAATCAGATATAAGCTTCGAAGGCCAGATCTTTGAGCCCCCAAAGCAGGCGTGCCTGCTCTACAACATTGTCTTCGGTCCTCTCGTATTGTTGGTTCATGCCTGCAGGCGGGTCATGTGTTTCGACTGGGCGTCTGTGCATATGCCAATTGCTGTGCAATGCAGGATTTACCTTCCATCTTGCTTTTATATCTACGCATGGCGACTTTACTGGACTCTTGGTGGCTGCTGCTCCGCCTTCTTCCAGGATCAGGCCGTGTTGACATTGTGGCACGAGAGATAGTGCTCATCAAGTCGGAGACACCTGCGCAGTGGGCAGGAATTTCCGCCGAACAATGCTTCTCTTGGCAAGGTGGGACATGGTGTGACCTTAGCGCATGTAAAGCCGAAGGCAATTGCTTGCTTGCCTCATCAGGTTTCTGGTGATACCGCCAATGAATCTGGGGGAAAGCAAGGTGGTGGGACTGCCTGGGTTGGAAGCTGAATACAAGATGAAATCACCTGCTACATCTGCACCGCTTGCCGTCTCAGCCCCTTTTTGTCAACTCGAGGTCCGAGCAATGCACTTCTCAAGGCATGGAGCAGACAGCTGCTTTGACGCGTCTAGCGAAAATGCTTTAAGCGTGGGCATTGGAGATCAGAAACGTTGGAACAAGACGCAACATATGCCAGCTCAGCAACCTCAGCCACAGAATCTCAAATTCTCCGCATGCACCATGGACAGTCGAAGCCAGTACGTTCCAAAGGCCCAGAGATCAAGATCTATTAGTAGTCAGCAGAGCGCGATTAAAGGAGACACAGGTGCTCATGCGGTCACAAGTCTTGGTCCTGCCTCACTAAGAAAATCTGCGTCACCTTGAAAGTTGCTTGCTGAGGGCAACACCTGGAACTCTGCACCCAAACCTTCGGCTGAACAAATTTTGAGATCCATACTCCCGCTGTCTCTACAGAGTCAAACCAGGAAACATCTGCTATTTTGCAGGAATCCTGGAGCCCAGCCGTCTCATCCAACACTTGGGGCAGCCGCCTTGTTTTGTCAAACACAACAGCTAAGTTGCAACATGTGCTGTCACCAGGATTCGCACATGCGGTTGTTCGAAGGCAAGATTGAGGCACCCACACTCTGCTACTAGTGCTTTTCTTTCGGCTCTGGGCTGCCTGGCTCGTGGGAGGCGCAAGATATTTTACAAGGCGCATTAGGTGACTGCTGGCTACTTGCCGTCCTCAGCTGAGCATTAGAGAACACCTGCATGAAGGGCAGCGTCACAACTGCAATCAAGAAGATCCAAGCGTTTTCCCCCATGCGAGGCTATGGCTACCTTGGCTGAGCACGAGGGCTCTATCAATCGACTTTTTCAGGACTGCTGCGTGGGCCACTCAGGTGCCTGAAAAGACATAGTGTTGCAATGGGAGTGCATGTGATGCAGGTGCAACCTGACGGGAAATACAGCATAAAGCTGTTTGATCCTCAAGTCAAGCAGTGGAAGGCATCCTGGCGGCACTGGATGATAGGTTGTTGCCCATCTCCCACCAGGCTTCTTGGGGAAGATTTGGATAGCACCATGCAGCCAGCCGCCAGCCGCTGTCTCACGCCAAGTCAGGAACCTCAAATCGCTTCCCCACAAATAGAGGCTGACTAGAGCTAACATCTGCAACCCACTCAAGCATAGCATAGCACAGCTCAGCTAGGCCGTGGGTCTACAGGCTGATGCCAGGGACGGGCAACGCCAGAGGGCAAACTGCGTGCAGGTTAAACTTTGTAAAGGCCCATGTCAGCATCACGCCGCGCATGCAGCGCACAGAGCAAGTCAGCTTTTGCTCGCGCGGCTCGTCCGACCTGAATGCTTGGCCGCAAGAACGCGAGCAGACCGAAGCCCCAAAACGTAGAAATGGACTCTTAATGATGCTGGCATCAGCATCATTAGGGTCGATTTTTCCATTTGGGGGTCCTCCAAAACCCACTGACATCTACGCTTGTTCTCGGCTCTGGCCCAAGACGGGCCTTGCGGCTACCTTTCATTTTGGATGTTTTGAATTTGGTCCGTGCCAATGCTTTTCTGGAGTTCTGGTGATGCCAAGAAACCTGGGGCCTTCGAGAGGCCCCCCCAAACACATCAGCACACATCTTTTTGAAAACTGCTCCTGGGGCCCATCCGGCCGGGCGAGCAAATTTTCAAGGTTTCAAAGGGTGCCAGAAGCTGGCAGGCAGGGCCCACGAGCACGCCCCATATCCGATTTTATCCAGTTGTGCAGGGAACTGGGCAATAGACCAAGCAGCCCGGAGAAAAGTTCAAGCCAGGCTGCCCCTGGGCGCCTGGACATGTGCTGTGTGTGATGTTGCCGTTACACTGCAAGTAATCTTCCCCTCCTAATCTTAAAGGGCTCGAATAAAAACCGACTAGACAAATCAACATTGCAATAACATCGTAATAAAACCATTAAAAACAAAGAAAACGCCATTGACATCTGATGACAAACAACGGTAAGAATAGATTCGAAACAGAAATCAAACCAATTACAACCAATTTGAAATTTAATTTGAATCTAATTATCCACTAAAGCCAGATGAATCTACGTAAAATCTAATTACAAACTAATAGGGACCGCTTTACAGTCGCAATAAAGCCAATCAAAATCGAGTTCAGATTCGATATAAATTCCTTCATAAAACCATTCAAAAGCAATCAGATTCCAAGAATTCAAGGATCTCCTTAAGAGTCATGCTAGGGACCCACAAATCTTGGGCTTTCAAAAGTAGTCTTGGGGGCGGATCTCAGAATTGGGAATTGCGGGGAACCCGTATTTTGTATTAAGGGGGTGGGTTTAATATCAGGGGGAAGTGATTAAACCTTCCCAGTATGCTCACCTGGCCTACCTTGGCCTCCAAGGCCTCAGGGCCCACCAGCACGCCTCGTAGCCGGTTTTGCAGGGAACTGGCTCTGAAAAACCTTACTGATGGCGTGGAACTCGGCTCAGACGCCCACCGCTTCGGGGAGAAACGCAGAGGGTTTTCACCTTCTTCCGTTTCCTCATACCATCCTAATAGCTCTCCACAGATCAGTGGATTGGCAACATAAATTTGGCAGTCTGCCACTTTTTGGCAGTTGCGCGCCTTGCGCAGCTGTCGAAAGGGCAAACCAGCAGATGTCCTCAGCTTGTACTTCTTCTTTTGCCGCTGTAATTGGAACGACAGCATGTGACCGATTATCAGGTTATCGTAATAGACGATTTCGTTCCATGCCTGGCTGATGCTCGTGACCCTGATGGCGTTGCAAGATGTGCCGACGGCATGCCCAAGGCCGGTCCAGCCTTGTGACATTTCCTGGTTTAGCTCCATAAACGCGCTCACATGTACCGACTGTCACAGCCATGTGCCGAGGATGGAAGTGCAAGCTCTCGTTGCAACCCTACTCACGTTTACGAAGTGGTCTCACAGCATTTGAAGGCGATGTATGCACGTCCGCACGGCAAAGAGATTTGGACCATGCTGCTGGAAAAGGCAGAGCTCATGCCGAGATAGCTGAGTTTCTGGATTCTGGAGCGCCCAAATCCACAGGCTTTTGCAAAGCTCTGCGGCAGCTACGCTGCGACGGAGGCAAGTCTGCAGTCGTACAGGTTTCGCTGGAATCCTCCCATGGCAGGCAGGCATCACTGAGTGGGGAATTTCTGCCATGACGGGTGGAAGTGCCTGGCGGTACGAGCGGGCCAACCCTGCAAGTTGATTAGCGCCAGGACTTTGTCTCATCTTATGGAAACCACCAGCTGATACCCACCAGCTCATACGTCATACATGTCACCGCGAGCTCCTTGTAGCAGAGCAAGATCACCTACGACTCGACTCCTCAGTTCCTGGGCATTGCAATTGCCGCTGTTTTGCGTCTCCCGGGCTTGCTAATACCAGATTGCATAGAAGCACTCTGGAACACTGCTTGGCTTGTTGGCAACTTGATGTCTGAACAGTTCTCAGGCAGCACGCGGCAGGCGTGCACTGCGCTATAAATTGCAAGCGGCCAGAAGAAGTCAACCACCAACAATCTGCAGAGAGCGTTCCACACTCAAACTGAAAAGGTGAAATGCCATTAAAAGTCTTTAGCAACATGAAATCCCCGAAGGTCCAGTTAAGCAAAGATGGAGTGACCCAAGCCCAATGGTTTGGTTGGGTGCAAACCAATCAGTACTGGTCAAAGGCACATTGCTGCTCCCAACGTGGGACTTCAAGCATGCGCGATGGACCCTAGAATGAGAACGCGTCTCACACAGAAAGAAGAGGTTACCTCATGGTTACCTCCCTTGTCTCAATCTCAGGTACCTGTTGACAGAAGGAACATCCAAAGTATAAATCACATTTCTGGAAAGTAACTCTTTAATTAGTTCTACATCGGCCAGCCCAAGATCTAAGCAGCATCGTTTTGAATGGAATTTGTCGAACGAGGTCAAATAAGAGTGCATGGTGCATTTGATTCCAGAAACAAGCTTTGGCCCTCACCCCATTGGAAACAGTTTGGATGCCTGCTTTCTCATGCCTTCTGCGTCTCTCCTATCCATTGAGGACAATTTGTTTCACAGATCGGTAACTTCCGTCATGATGAGCCATACACCGCTGCTCCGCGTCTTCATCTGACGTTTAGCCCGGTCTGAGTGAGTACTATGTCACTATGTCATTCTCTGCCCATCCCAAGAGGAAGCTGTGGGTGTACAAATTACAGCGGCAGAAAGGCAAGGAGGCAGATGGATTGAATCCTCAGCGCGACACATAATCAACCCGTCCGACGACTTGGAAACAGCCTTTGGCTGAGTCAAGCTAGGTCTGATCAAGCGATGGCGTTGGCACAGGGAGGATGAAAGAATATGAAGACAGTCGGAAAAAAATCAACAAAAACGAAACAAGACGGACCTCTGGGACAGCCGCTTCCACAGCCATGCCAGGACGACTCGAAGTGGAGCCGGCTGGACCTCGTGGCTGAGGAGTCCAAGGACAAAGCAGAGTTTTTAACACCTGGTCATAACGGCAACTGGTGGACAGCTTCTCAGGACAAGAGAGCCTGCGGTTTCAAGCATGCGGCCGAGGGGCATGATGACGAGGACAGCTTTCATGCCTAATAAGAATGCAGCATGCAGGCAGCATAGTGCAGGAGTTCTTCCTGCTCCTGCGATACTATCACCGCCAGGGAGCGGTTCTCTGTCGGACGCCCACATGCAAAGTGCAGGTCATGGTCAGCCATGTTGTAAGCCTATGCTTCTCTGAGAGAGGCAGTTCGTCTGGTACGGCTTTGGAGCGCAATCGCGCGTGTAGCTTGCTCAGGTTGCGGAGGTGTCAAGCCAGCTGGGCAAGAGCAAGGCTCTGGTTTAGCGCTTCTTATCTCCTGAAGGGCATATAGAAGACGAGTGCATGTAGCAGATGTAGCAGATGTAGTAAGCACTTGGAGACTTAGACCGATGTAGACAAGTGTCCAATGTCTTTTGCCCATACGTCAACCCCTCTAAACTCAGTTGTCAGCTACATGTGGAAGATGGCAAACATCCATCCCTTGAAAAGTTCAGACTTCCAGTCTACCTACTTCGTCTCCCCGGCCTAGGTCGCGATTAGACTACGTTGCGTATAGTGCGAAGACTGAGAGTGCAATTCAGGTCTGGTGGTCGGACATGCCTTCTCCTTACTGCAGGCCGCAAAGTGAAGATCAAGCGTGTTGCTTCTGATGGCAGTGGCGAGTTCTGTAAGTCAAGCCATTCTGCACTCCATGGTGCCCTGTCTGACGTTCAACCAGGTACGAGCAGTTTTCACCAGCTGGCATTCAGAGGAGTTCTTCCGTGACATGGTTCGCAGAGAGATTTGGGAAAGGCTTTGGGAGAGGCGACTTTGATGGCTTCTAATGTGCATACAAGGTCTTTCAGGCATCGTGAAGCCTCAAGGCGCCCAAACGGTGCCCCACAGAAATGAACACCAGCAAAAAAAGCGTGTCTGCACCTAAAGGCGGGCCGCAGGATCCCATAGACATGGTTGCCGCGTGAGATGAAAAGGAGCTACGCAAGAACACACCTGAACACAACCGCAAGATTTGAGCCAGCATAGCCTGACAAGATCGGTTCGTGCGGTCAGCCCGTGGAGTTTCGACGGCCACACAGCACTGACAGCTCTCGAGGCATGAGCACAATTTCTCAGCCAGGTCACACCTTGGCTTCATCTCACTTGTCGCAAAACATGTCTTGGCCAGCAGAGCCAGAGCCGTGACAAGAATCTCGTTCAGGTATGGTACAGATACGGAATCCCTGGGGCACTGGAGCTTTTGCCTTGGCATGCTCGTGATGACATGAGAGAGCGCAGACTTGTGGCCAAAGTCCAAGGAGTGGAAAGGCCCTTGGTCGGATGCCTCACCGCTGTGGGAAAAGTACCCGTGCCTGGGCGAATTGCTAGGTCTGCAGACTTGTGGAGTAGTCGTTGCTTCGTGGCTTTCAGGATCACGCGGTATCAATCTTTGTTTTCGGATTGCAGTGCGCAGGCACGTACGGGAAGTCTTGCAGTTCTCAGGGAGACACGGGCTCAGCTGGCTCCCAAAACTTACTTGCTCTTGGTACTTCACTGTCTTGGCGTGACTGCTCTGATTTCCTCCATACTGGAGGAGATGATGGAACCTACTGGATGCCGTGTACCCGGACAGCCCCGTGCATTTGGGATTCAGCCAGGAATGCCGTCATTCTTGTGCGGTTACAGGACAAACTTTTGTGCACACCGACTTTAGACACTCTCTACAAGATTTGTGGTACTTCCGGGTTAATATCGGGGGCCTGGCTTGAACGAGCTGCTTTCTACACCGAACGAGTGCTGTTGCTTAATTGTTAGGCCAGAGCATGGAATCACAGCAAAGAGAGCATGAAGCCAATTGACTGAAGCCTCCTGAAGTGGCAGTTGGGCAGATGCATGAAAGCTGTTCAGGTATTTTCTACGACTGCTACTGCTACCACTGCTACTACCACTGCCACTACGACTACTTCTACTACAACAACAAAAACAACAACAACAACAACAACTACTACTACTACTACTACTCCTACTACTACTACTACTACTACTACCACTACCTATCGTGTTGTTATTTGACGGTACATTAT